GTCCTCCACCACTGAGTTACACCACCCCCGTACTAGAATTTTCATCCTTGTCTTTCCCAATTTTTAGGCCTTCGGACCTGGACTAGAACTACACTATAATTCTCCTGGGTCACTCTAGGTCTTGAGATTTCCTGACCTCTGTGTCTATATGATTCAACTGTTATCTATCTACCCACTGACTCCTCCTCCCCTCCTCATTTGTTTTCCTTTTTTAGCAACAAATACCACAGTTTAAGTAACTTTATAAAGGAAAGGGGGTTGTTTGGGGGTTGGGTCCTTCCCTCACACACACCTCACATACTGGTCTGATCTGAGTGGCTTGTGTCACTGCCTGAGCTTCAGCCAGGGGCCATGTCTGGGTCCATTGCCCTACTGAAGCAGCCAGGGTCTGTGATGATATCCATGGCCCACGTTCCCATCAGGAGCCATGGAAGAACTGGCCCCAGCGGCCTGACACTGTGGAGCTGGTCCTGCCACCCTTTGGCCACCTCAGCAAGAGAACTGGCCCCAGAGTTGTGGGCTCAAGAGAGCTGTCCTCTTGTCTGGATGGCTGCCACAACAGAACTGACCTGCACCTGGAAAAGCTGTCCCCGCCCCTCTTCATCTGTGCAGGAGAGTTGGCCCTGACCCTCTCCTGGGGAGGGGGGAGTCCATGGAGAGGCCCAGGCTGACAAACTCAACTACCATCCAGGCCCACAGCCAGGGCTTTGAGTTGGCCCAACTCTAATATCCCATCTATGCCCCATGGAGAGCACAAAGGGACTGGTCAGATCAGACCAGTATGGCCCTGGTGGTGCTGTGAGGTGTGTGTGAGGGAAAAACCACCGCCTGGCTGCAATGAACATTTTGCAAGTAAAACTGGTCTACTTTGTGACACACCGAAGTCACCAAGGCCACTAGGACAGATGATATATGACGGAGAGGTGAAAAAGACGGAGGAGTGGACGTCTTCTCTCTTTACTCTTTTTAAAAATTATTTTTTAAAATTTTCTTTATTGGGGAGAGGCTACAAGGGTGGAGGGCAAACGTGGAAAGACTGGGGAATGAGTGGGATTGAGATACATGATGTGAAACTCCCAAAGAACCAATAAAAAAAAAAACCGGGTGATGGTGGCGCACGCCTTTAATCCCAGCACTCGGGAGGCAGAGGCAGGTGGATCTCTGTGAGTTCGAGGCCAGCCTGGTCTACAGAGCTAGTGCCAGGATAGGCTCCAAAGCCACAGAGAAACCCTGTCTCGAAAAACCAAAAAAAAAAAAAAAAAAAAAAATGACATCCGGGTGGTGGTATATGCCTTTAATCCCAGTACTAAGGAGGTTTTTTTGTTGTTGTTGTTTTGTTTTTCAAGACAGGGTTTCTCTGTGGCTTTGGAGTCTGTCCTGGACCTAGCTCTGTAGACCAGGCTGGTCTCGAACTCAGAGATCTGCCTGCCTCTGCCTCCCGAGTGCTGGGATTAAAGGCGTGCGCCACCATCGCCCGGCCTAAGGAGGGTTGTTTTTTTTGTTTTGTTTTGTTTTTTTGAGACAGGGTTTCTCTGGTAGCCCTGGCAGTCCTGGAACTCACTCTGTAGACCAGGCTGGCCTCGAACTCACTGAGATCTGCCTGCCTCTGCCTAGGGAGTGCTGGGATTAAAGGTGCTCGCCACCACCTGATTTTGTTTTTGCTTTGTTGTTTTCTCCTTTGAGAGAAACTTCTCTTGCTAGGGCTCTGGCCAAAAAGAAAGGTCAGTTGATTGCTTCTCAGCTTTTCTGATCTAGCAGGTTTTCACCCCAGCATCTGACTCCTGAGTACTGGTAAACAAAATGATAGAGACTTAGTTAAAGCCTACATTTGGTAGCCTCAGAAATCCTAGAAATCCTGCCAAGTCGCAGTCTGAACAGTGGGGTGCTGGCTTCAGGACTGAGGACACAAGCAGTAGTTAAAATATAAGTAGATTCAAGTGAGACTGCTAAGTCTGCATTAAAAAAAATACATATCATGTAAAAATATATATAACCATCAATCAGATCAAAGTATTATTTCCAGTATCTAGCAAGCTCACTCAGCCTTGAATACTTAGAAGCAAAATGTAGTTCAGTTGTTGTACAAAGAAAAAAACTTTTTTTAAAACAAGATTTATTCCGGGCGGTGGTGACACAGGCCTTTAACCCCAGCACTGAGGCAGAGGCAGGTGGATCCCTGTGAGTTTGAGGCTAGCCAGGTCTATAGAGTGAGTGCCAGAAGAGGCCCCAAAGCTATACAGAGAAACCCTGCC